GGGAACGCTGACACTGGCTTGAGATTTATCACAAAGTTCACCAGGGACAATACAGCAACTAAAGAGATTATCAAGATAATCTACCACTCAGTGGTGGCAAACAGATTAAAGATCTCTGGAGAGGTGGAGGAAAGCAATTAACAGGGCCACTATGCCGCAGTACTTCCTGGGTAAGTTTGAAATTTTAAGGTTTTGCAGTATCAGGTTCGAATCAAAAGGAGAGAAACTTACCAGTCTTCCCAGCTCCAACGGAACTGGAAGTTGCTCAAGTGGTGAGAAAACCAGTTAATAAATCTTTATTAAAAAGAAAAGAAAGCTCCATTAAATGCCAGAAGTGCAGGAAAACTTTCAGTTCAGATTTTCTTATAAATGCATTCCACTTTTCAAAGGCAAGCTTAAACTCTAAAGCTGTTACAGCATTAAACAGGTGTTCATATTGACGGATACAAAAGACAGAGTTCAGAGAGTCAGAAAGAAGCTTTTATGGACAAATAGACAGCCTGTCACGTTCTGTTGTTTCATACAAAGAAATGACCTATTAAATTAACAATTAAAATGTCAGCTTACTGTGAATATGCAACTTTCCCATTTTTGATGAGTAATTAACAGCAATCCTACACAATGCAGACTTCACTCAAATGGCAAAATCGCCACCACTCCCCTCCTCCGGGTAGCACATACGCCATTAACTCCACTTCCAGCTCGCCTCCCAGACCACTAGGGAGCAGGCATAGTACTAGATAATGGAGTACTATGCAACTATGAACAGCTTTGAACATGGAAAAGTTGTCACCAATCTTAACTGTCCTGTACAGACAGCTAGAGTTGTAACCTCTGGGGGAGTGTTTCTGGGAAGGAGAGACAAGCAGTCAGTCCTCCACCTTCTCTTTAGGTTGCTCAAAGCCAGAGCCCAGAAAGCATTTTGAATACCACCAGGAAGCTCTAACAAAGATTTCTGACTAATCTTTCCATAGCCTCTTCATTTTTCCTGTACATTGGATATTGAGGAATATTTTCCATTGTCTCCAAAACACATTTACCTGTCCACACATGTTGTATTCATTGTATCCAAACGCATGTAGAGCATTTCTGTAGCTTGTGCAAGCTGAAAGTTTTTTATTAAGGTTAACTGAACAGCACTAGATAAGTCAGAAGTTATTCCTTTCAGTTTGTGACTAGAATGTCATCAACTTTTTGTACTGAATGCTCTCTGGGTCTACTCCAAAATCAGGTAAATGACAGTAAATCCACAGTGGAAAAAATGAAGCATATAGTGAGTTCTACCCTCTAATCCCAGTCTGTCTTTTTTCCATTATTGCAATGGGGCTGTTGGGTTCTTCCATAGAAAGCCAGAATTCACATCATGTGACAAGCAAAACTGCACTGATATGAACAGACACCAACCTCCTTACGGAGTGCTTCTGTAATCTCACCATCTTCATGGGCTGCTGTTGATGCTTATCCATGATCTTTGATCACCACTGAAGGCTTGAGAAAGTATCTCTACACCGACTTTACCCAACAAGGGCTTTATCCTTCTTACAGTGTCCCTATTAACATTAAAAACTTTCTGCACGGATGTCCGCCCAATTCTAGAAATAGACTTAGCTCTAATCATTGAGATTATGTGATTTGCAAACAGTGAGAGGTATCATAAAGTAAAACAAAAATTTGGGCATGAAATTACCAGTGGATAGACATCTGTTAACCATCCTCCATTCTCACAGTCTGTAGCTTGATCTAAACCAATGATCTAAAATGGCAGCAAAGTAGGGGCAATGTAATAGCCAGAATTAGCTGGGAGTCATGCCTCCTTCCTCAGCATTTAGCCACTGTCTCTTAGCTGACAGATGATTATTGACCTTTTGAATGCTCCCAGTGGGAGCACTGAGTGGGAACTCAGGCAAGTTCCTTTAAATCATCTGCTACACTTCCTACTAAAAAAAAGTAGGAACACTCACACAGTTGTTAGAACAAAAGATCGAGTCTGTCACTTCCTTTCCTTCTCAGCCTTTAATGTGTCTGTGACCAGGCCACATGTTGCTCAGACCTAAACGGGCTGCAGTGACAAACAGGAGTATTGTATTTTTATCTCCTCACCCAGACAGCCCTTCTTGGGAAGGCCAGAGGAAGTACCAGAACATTATCCAGAAAGCTGAAGAGTCTTGCCCACTCGGCAAATCTAGTCCTGTGTTACGTGGGCTGTGCTGTTCTTTCATGTGAGTGGTACAGACAAAGTTTCATGCCGCTGCTGTAAAATATTAATACTGCCAGTATTTATTACTATCCCATCATCTACAGAACAAACAAAACAAAGACTGCATTTTATAAATGCTCTCCAGCAGCACAGAAAGGATACAACTTGTGGTAAAGAGCCAGGTTGAAGCTTGCACAGTTCAATCAGGAGCGTTGTGTACATGACTTCAATGTGTGGTGGAGATGGAAGTTGAAACAATTCTGCAAATATTACCTGTAGGAGAGGAAGGCACAGAATCAGAGCGCAGTCCAACATGGCCTGCACAACCCTCAGCTTTGCAATAGTGGCTATCAATCTTGAACAATTACATACACAAAAAGGCCCATACTATTCTGTCAAATGCATGTTCCGGGAAAAAGAGAGAGAAACTTGCACAGATAGTGGTAACCGTACACTGTACTGATACAGTCCGCTCTAACCACCCTTATAATTTTATACTAATACAACACCAGTGTTACCCATCTATTACGTCTAATAAATATACCGCATAATTGTAGAAATGGGCATATTTATAATATGACCTACTGCAATGCTACCACATGATCTGAGGAAAGCAGAAATCAACCGGTCCTGTTAAATAATAAACATAAATATTTAACAAAGTAAATGAGGCCTAAGCTTTTAGTATGAAAGACTATTTGCATTAAAATTACATCTATATCTTTTCCATTGTGTCCTCCTTTCTCCTATACAAAAACTTACACAAATAAAGCCACAACTTTCAACTGAAAATTACAACCAGCATTTCATACAACAAAAATGTATGCTCAGTACCCCTTGGCAGAGGATCCTTCCAAGAAAACTGAAAACAATCCTGCAGTCAACATTCATGTTTTTATTTTCAAGCTGCTTATAATAACAGCATGTCAATCTTTAAGGGCTACGAAAAGATCATCATTGTACAACATTCATTTCTGAGTTTCTGTTTATTTTGCATGCCATTCTCAACTAGATTTAAATTACATCAAAGGAATCAGGAAACTTTGATTCATTATGGTTGGTCAATTTCCTTTTCCACTTTAAACTTCTGAATAAACGTGAAAGAATTGAAGCTTAAAAGAGTAAGCTTTAGAAAGTCTTCTTACTAGTGTAAGAAATCAACACCCATTTATAGAATCCACAAACAGGACATGAAAGCACATTGACTAGAACTTATTCCTTATTCTAAGGAAGGACTTGAAAGCATGAAGAGGCTAAGGAGCTGGAGAACCTTTCCGTGACAGTATAATTTGGACATACTGTTAAGACAAATATGGCAAAAAGGTAGGGGGGACCCTGTTCCCCCTAGAAAGAAAGGAAAGAAGGAAAACTGCTTCTTTTCTCAAGATAGGAAATAACAACAACTGGATGATCAGTCATTATCTCTTTGAGATACTGCATAAAACTGTATTTGTGATACTCATCACAGGCTCATTATCAAATGTTCAGATTAAGTGTTTCTGAATGTCCAAACTCTGTCAAGCTAAGTTGTACCAAAAGCTGTAGAAGCACAACAGGGCACAGCAGTCCAACCACCCAGTGACACTGTTCAGACACTCTCTGTTCACAGCTACCAGAAATATCCACATATGCATCTGCTGTGAAGAAGCTACTGAGAGAAAGGTGCCACATTTCAGTGTTTCGCACAGATTCCAGGTAGCACAGACCATTCTGTGCTCTGCCTGACAAACTACAACATGGAGCCTCAGGGACCTCCAAAGTAGGCATGCTTGGGAAGGTATTGGCAACCACTTTCAGGCTACATTTACTTCTGCCTGACTTATATTCTGAACCTTAAATAACACTTTCCTTTATTTGTTAGACTGTATTATTTCTACAGTTCTGTGACTTACTGAAAAAGTTAGTGAAATTTCACAGATTAACCTGTTAAACTGTTGTTGAAAGCAATACATCACCAACTTGACTATTAAGACAGACCTTACAAGGGAGCTGTAGTAAGCAGAATGAATGGAAGCCTGAAAAAAGCATGCTGAGCCTTAAAAACTCTGTAGCTTCATTAAAAGTAAGCAGTCATAGACAAGTAATGAAGTTAATATTCTAAAATAACTCAAAATTGCAAGAAAAAAGAAATTATGACAGTAATAGTCAAAGAATTTGTACACCAATCTTGCACTTCTTTCCAGTAATTTCATCTACACAAACCTTTGCTGTTTTCACATCCTGCAAGTTTCTGAATCAAATAACTTCCAAGGGCCTTTAGGTAACTGATTTCATAGGAATTGCAGTAACAATTTGTTGGCATTAACGTACAGCTGAGCATAAAGCACGCAGCCATATAGCCATATACAGCACCTGAAGATACTGAAGATAAGACCACTGAAGATACTTTGATGTTAAGGCAGAAAATTATTACTAATTTTAAGATTCCTCTGTTCCGAATTCAGAGTACAAGAAGAACAAGCTGACCAAAAGTACTGTAACTTTACAGCATTCAGAATATCCGTCATTTTGGTGCCACAAAGAATTCTCAATCCCACTGTTATTAAGATAAATCTTCTACATAAGGTTATTTCTTGTTATAATTAGCTCTGAAATTCCTACTTATAGTTACTTCTTCATAAAGCCTTTATATGACAAGTTGCCATTATAACTGAAATCTCTTAATCCCTTTCAGCTTTTGATGGAAATTAATGAAGTTTTATACAGCTCTGCATCTTGAAAACAGACCTTTGAAAGGAGGTAGCAAAAGAAAACCTACGCTGCTCTTCTGATGCATATTACGGTTATTTAAAATTCTCTAATATGGAGGATGCCCCAGATCGCTATACATCGCTATTTCACTATAAAGTCATGCAGAACGGCTGAGTCTGGCTGGAGATCATCTAGACAAAAGCCATAAGGCAGGGTCACCTAGAGCAGGTTGCTCAGGGCTGTGTCCTGTTAGGTTTTGAACTTCTCCAAAGATAAAGACTCCAGAACTTCTCTGGGCAAACTGTTTCAGAGTTTAATCACCTTTGCAGTAAAAAAGGATTTGTCATATGTTTAAATGGAGTTTCTTGTATTTCAATGTGTCCGTTTCCTCTTGTATTTTAATTTTTTTTTTTTACAGTAAAAGTGACTCAAATGTAACCATCTCTTAGACTGTGTGATACATTAGAAGCATCATATGTAAAACTTTAAAAGTTTTAAAAATGCCAGAACCTGGATTGCTAGTGCAGTAAGAAATTTTAGTACTTGACCAAAGCTCCTATGCACCAAGTTAAAATGACAACAAAAAGCACAAAACTAACACTCAACTGTATATAACCCACTCATTTAAAAGCCATTGGTTGAACTCAATAAGGTTCTGTTTGACACCCAAACCAAACTGTAATTTAATGGACCTATCATGGAACTAACTGGGACATGTTACTTGTGAAATAACAGAGCTACAAGAGAGGTTATCTATAAAATCCATACCTCTACTATGTGGTAGTTCAAGGGGATCTTGTTATTTCCTGGATAGCTCAACAGCTGTGCAGCACTGCAAAACCATAGATACATTTAGGTCAGAACATAACACAGCAAATGTGATGTAAAGATTAAGTAACAAAGTTACCGAAAATACTTCATCCTGGGCAAGAGTTCACACAAAAGCAGCACAAACAAATCAACAAGCCTTCCAAAGTGTCCATAAATCCGTAGAACACTTAGAAACAGCACAAGAACACACCGGCATTGCCTAAACCACGATTTGTAATGATGTATTTTATATCTATGTAGTCACACCATTTGAACACTATACTGCTACGCAAAATAGTTTTGCATAAATACTCGTGGTGATCTGTAGTTCTGGCATGCATATACTAAAAGGAAAAAAAAAACAACCACTTAACAACAGATGTTCAAAATGGCTTGAAAGCACAATTAAGCTAATGGGTTATATAAGGAACTCTCAGGCTTCAAATGCTTCATCTTTTAATCAGCTTATTATCACCTATCATTATTACAAAGCAAACAACTGCTACTTCCTTGATTTTATTTCTACCTCTCTGGCAAATCTCGTACCTCCCTCTAGTCTTTTGCTTTCCTCTGAGAATTAAGAAAGACTATCCCAGTAACTGCAACAACCCTGAATTTCTAGCTTCTGCAGAATCAAGCAGCTGCAACCAAAAAACTGCATCACGTGCCATCACAAAAAACATTGTTTCTGCCCATTTTTTGTATACTATACAAAGTTGGTGGTATTCATTTGGAAGCATGACACCTGTGGCAAACCATCTTGGTTATCAACTACCCACATTAGATACTGCTCAGGCAGAAATGAAGAAAAGTGCCCTGACTGCTTCCTGGCATGGCTGAATTCAAACTAATTGAACCTGCTGGCCCTGCAATGACTCCCGAAAGCAAGCTCAATTATCTCTGCCATGTAATCCCAAAGAGAAGAATGCAACAAGGAGGAGCAGGAAGCAGGAGCGTGTTCATAAACACCAGTGCGTGGTCAGCTGCAGATGAGCCAGCCCAAGGCCCGCTGTGCCCCAACAAATTACCTGCTTCAAAATTCCAGGAAGCATAACAGAACCACACACTCCACAGTGCTCCCACGAAGAATAAGGTGTGTCTGCGTATTTTTTGCAGCACATCCTGTATTATCAAGGAATTCCCTTCCCGAGGAGCCACTGTCCCCCTGGATCATACAGATTCTCCATCATCTGGACATTACAGACCCACAGTATTCCAAGCAACAGTTTTAATGCAGTTAAATGTAATAAATCAAGTTTCATCAAATGCTCTAGGAAACGTTTAATCTTGAGCTCTTGCCTAACCAGTGCAAGACTCTGCATATCCCTGATGGCACCGAAACCATGGTAGCATATAAAAAGCGCCAGGGCCCCATAATGCTAAGCTCTTCCTACCAAGTTTTTCTCTCTTTCCAGTGGGATTTGATGATGCAGTGAAGGTTCTCTTCTATTACAAATCGTTCAACGGAGTGGCTGCCAGGCATGACAGGGCCCTGGTAAGAAAGAATTAAGACTCATGAAAGATCACTGTTAATGCCACAGGTAGCAAGCTATCCTACATACATTTACAGGTGGAAAAAATAGTCCAACTTCCACATAAACACCGTGAGGTCTCAGCTGCCCCGCATCCTTCAGGACTAAGAAGCTGGTGTGACACAGTTCCACACAAACCTCAGACTGATGTTTAAAACAAAATGAATACTAGGAATCATTACAAAAAGAAATGGGAACAAAATTAGAGAACATGATTCTAAGTTCATGGAGCATCCCCTTCTTCCTTTGCTCTACGGAGCCATCAGGCAGGCTACCACCATGCAGCCTGGAAAAAAAAAAACACAGTTGAGCTGAAATATGATAAAGAAATAAAGCCATGAATGGCCAGGATGGAGTGGAAAGTATAGGCAGTCATGGTCTTGTTCACTGCAAAAACCAGGGGCCAATAAATGAAGGTGAAAGGCAGCAAAGAAAGCAAAGGGAGGTATAAAAGCACTGGGGGAAAGCAGTATATATTCTTTTCCTATTCCTATACAGTTTTGTCTATATATTTGCTGTTGACCAATGCTGGAGTCAGACTGTTGAGACAGATGGATCTTTCACCCACCGCAACTAAGCACTCCTTTGTTCCACAACATACATCAACAAATTTTAACAGATGAGTAAACAACAGTCTTTAAATATTACAATAAATAGCTAGCCTGGAAAAAGACTCCAGTCACCAACTTTACAGAAGGGAAGTCTAACTCTGTGAATGTAGTTTTACTAGAGGCATTAGAGAATTCAATCAATGTTGTCATTCTAAATGAAAGCATCACAACATCTAACTCCCTAAATTCTGCTCCTCACAGATCTGCTTTGTATGGTAACTTGGTCACCTAGTTAATTTCTGCAGAAGTACCAAAGCAGAACTGCGCTGGTCTTCAAACCACTCACTATCACATCACAGGGGACATCACATTTTGACCAATAATGCCCCAGGAACCTAACTGTGAAACCCGCTCACCATCCCCCACAGCAATCACATACCTCAGGGTCATCTGTGTAGTCAAACATCCTAAAAATAACCCTTGGCATCGGGTACACTGAATCTTCGGTGTGAGGCGGAGGAGTGAACGGAGGCAGATTGTGTTGCAGCGCTTCACAAAGAATGCTGTCAAAAGCCAAGTAGGGCCTCAGAATGTGTCGTTCTTGCCAACGGTCTTTTTTCAACTTCTGAATCTGAGACCAAAGGCAGTCTAAATACTGAAGGAAAAAGGTGAAAAACATCAGATGCGCTGAATCTTGTAACAAAGCTGGCAGCTCCCTGAACTATCAGAAATGTGTTTCTTAAATTCCATATTCCATTCAGAAAAAACAAAGTTTCTTATACTGCTGATTTAGTAAACCAAGAAGTAATCTAAGAACTCTAAGCACCAGAGCTGCTCCTAATACCACACAACATTGTGTTAGTAAAATTTAACTGCTGGCAGGTTTTCAAAAACTAACAGGCAGCCCAGGAGATGGAGCATGATGGCCATCATTTGAATCTGCCAGCGAAACTACAGCAGTGAACGTTACTTCAGTCACTGCTTATTGGTGGTATTAAAAGAGATGTAATATCAACATTAAAATTGGAAAGACATTCTGTAGGACTGCCATGCTGTTCCCAGAGAAATCAAAACTACCAGCTACTGCTTATTCAAGACAAATAGAATACTATAAAACATTAAATACCTTTGCCATGGTTTTCAACACAATTGTAAGTCCCAGCATTCTCCCAGAGATGGCACAGACACCAGTGCAACTGGCAATAGGCTTGCTTTGTTTAATTACTCTCTTGCTAAAAGCAGTCCAAGAACTCTGGAGGTCTGTGGCCTTACTGAACACAAGTTTCAAGTTATAACTGGTGCCAGAAATGTCTTTACATGGAAGTGCTTTGTGTTTACTTATTATCACACTACAAAATGGGAATAAAACTAGTAACAACTAGCACCTGAAGCGAACAGTCGTGTTTATGGTACACTGGGTAACACATGGTCTCAGACACACTCTGCTAATCTCTCCTCTATTGAACTAAATAAGGAAATTCAAATATTGGGCAGGCAAAATACTCATGTTGACAAATCAATCATCATCAGACAGCCTGTCTCTCCAAATTGTGATTAACAACCCCATTTGTGGGATTGCTTTTGCTCCAGAACCTGCGTGCACTTGGTGGGTGATGCGGCAGGATGGGGAAGTCCGATGTGTACCTCAAGGGGATTTGATTCTGGGTGAAAATAGACAATGAACTGAACTGTATAATGTTAACTGCTATATAACACTGTATGTCATCACTATGTGGTGGCTATATGCCATATTAACGGTATTACAGTAAGAAATCGCCCAGATTAATGAAGAGTAAACTTTGATGAAACCAAGCAAAGTGCAGCAGTGATGGAACCAGAACTGGCTTCAGCATGCAACAATCCAGCACCGCACACCATCTCTGCTGCCCCGAAAGGCTGTTATGACAGATGGAGTCCAAAGTTATGGACTAAATGAACTCAACGGACATTTCAGAGGGACGGCCCATAGACTAAGGGAATGATATCTGTGTGCATATATCAAAAGACAGGGAAAG